TATAAAGGACTCACAAACCGTCGATTCTAACAACACAATGTGTGCAAGATTATGTTGTCCAATAATTATGCCAGTTTCTGTAACAGATGATCCACAATACAAATTTTTACGAAAAAATCACCATTTTCGCTGCAGAATTACAAAAGTTTCTCTACATCACGGAGGTAGTACGGAGAAGAAATTACTACATCAGCTGACTTATTTCGCAGAGAGAAAATTTTAATCATACTACAGCAAGCACTTCAAGGCATCACAAAAACCGCAACTAAAATAATCACATTCTTTCGACATAGTTTGTTTTCTTTGAACACCTCAGAAACCTTATGTATGCGAAAAGTTGTAATATTTGAGAAAGCTTAACAGTTTTCCTAAAAAGTTTCTTGAAATTTTAGGTCTTTAATGATTTCTTGCATTTTTGTTTCAAAAAATAGAAGTAATCCCTTTACATTATTTGAGTAAGTGCAGTCCGTTCATCCGTTCATCCGTTCGTGCGTGCGTCCGTCACTCACAAATTCATCACCCCCCTTTCACCACCATTCGAGACATATGAGACGTCATTTGACTCGTATCCTGATGGGGATCTGAATTGATGGAAAATTGGTTTTCGGATACGGCTAGAATCTTGAAAGAAATGTCGAAAAACGTGTTTTTGCGTTTCGGCACTGCAATTTTTTTGGATAGATCGAGAATGAACCCAACGCCACCTAAATCGCTCTCTATAGGTGGGATTTATTAAACTTCAGTTTAATAAAGAGGCACGTTTTAACCAATTAAACCCAGAGGCACGTTTTGCCCCAAAACGCCATTTTTTCATGAGGATGGCAGTACTGATTGTTGCCATATCGAAGTACAACACGTGAATCGTGTGGCAAGACTGTCCATTACTGCTTTGAAGTTGTTCATACAAAATTGTGTTTCATACGTATTACTGTATTTTAATAACAAATTTGTAAAAACCAATGTACACTGTTATCTTGGAACTTAATAAATTCGAAGAATTTCAAGTGAATACGGATAAAACCGGAACCATGAGTAATGCTAAAGAATGACAGACCCGTATTCACTTTTCACATTTACTTTCTTCAGCGTTCAAATATCAAGTTTTAAGTGAATGAGACTAAAAATTTTATTATTATTATTATTATTATTATTATTATTATTATTATTATTATTATTATTATTATTAATATAATTAAAACTAACATTATTCTCATAAACAAACTGTCGCCTTTTAATGTTTGTATAGATGTATTGATGTTCAAAAATTAGGGGACAAAAATATGGAAGTGTTAAGCAAATCCGGAGAAGTATCAAATATAATTGTAGAAGATTTTGCGATAGAATTTTTGGAACTAATCGAGAATTATTTTATCATAGTATTAGAGAATAACTCAGAAGAACATCTTACACATGATATTTTATGTACATTTTTTGCTTATTGTCAAAAAAACATGCAAAATGTAGCTGCACTAAATTGTAACTATTTGCTAACTGCAAGTATTTTTTACGGCGATTACAATTCTGAAATTGCAATATTACTAGTTTATATCTTGTATTGAGGTAACATACAAGGCCATTGGGTGTTTGGAATTTTTGAACGGAAGTATTACCAGCTACAACGATTTATTGGTATGTGCAAAGTCAGATACTGTAAGAACTTATTTGAACAAAGTTAGGAATGACATTTACAAATTTTCAACACATGAAAATACTTTTAAACAGTTTTCAGCGTCGGCGACGCCACAATCAGATAATTGTTGAGTAATAACTTAGATAAATTTTCGTTATGCCGCGTATTCTCACTAGTTTTCCAATCCGTTACATGAAACCTAAAAGTGTACTTGAAGACAAAGATCTACAATGTGACTACCATCGTTCAGCAGAATCGGTCGTCTGTTTGCGCTCAAACTTTCCTCAGCCTAACACGGATCAACTCTGAACGTTCCCTAAGTGATATAATAAAGTCCGTTGAACTCTTGGGGTGCATTTTCCTCTAGAAGTTCGTGGAAGGTACAGCGATGTGAATTCCCAGCTGCATGCCTCATGAGCACTCGCTTGTCATAAAGGACCCGGTTGCAGCCAAATGCTTGTCATCTGAAGAGGAGAATACTGCAGATGAACCTACAGCGGCCTTGAACTTGCTTTAGTGACGTTCAACTCTCGCATTTTTAATTTTAGTGACTAGGCGGTTTCTTATGTGAGGCATTAAGGGCCTTGCACATTGTACTAGCAAAGCTCCGCTGACGTTTGTTCAACTCGACTTTTGACACGCTACGAAATAAAAGTTTACAAGTGGGAGCGAAAAAAACAAACGACTTCCATTTTTTTGGTAATAATTTTAACACCTTTTTTTCTAATTAAGATTCACAATATGTGCGACCAAAAATTACGTTTTATTCACAATGCTAGGGCGACAAGTATTGTAATTCAATGCAATGCTGCATTTTCAGAGTACAATTTCATTTTCAAATAGTCAAAACAACTAAACAATTAACACAGTAGAATATATCAAAAATCATTCTGGGAAAACAGAATTAATTAGCAGCCCTTTTCCCCATAATTATTATTTTTAAAAGAGACAATTTTCTTAAGACGAGCCGGTTTTATATCTGACCAACTGTTTTCGAAGGGGGGTCTTTTTGAACCAGTTAGAGCATCAAGAAACGGTGAGATTCATAACTTGTAACTGTAACTCATAACTCCGTAACGTGAATTTATCGCATGAATTTCACTGTCCAAAAATTTAATTTCGTAGTTAAGAGACAGTATTGTAATTGTGCGGCGGAAATCAACAGAAAGACGCTTATTGTCGGACCCCAGTAACGAAAAAGTGGATAAATCTTGTACCATGATACATAAAACTCGATTGAAGCAAAACGCCTGCACATCCGTTCGTCCGTTCGTCCCTTCGTCCGTCCGTCCGTTTGTCCGACAGTCTAAACGACCGTCCTTCCCACCGGCCGTCCAAGTGCTAGTGTTTGCTAATTAGGGTAAACGGTGTTGCTAGGTTGCCTGATTGTGTTGTATTGTCCGTAAATCTGACTTTCAAGGCATGTAAAGGAGTAAGACATTTCTTTCATCCTTCAGTAGACGAGAAAACATTTCTGAAATTTGCGCAGACTACAGACGTAAAGTACTGGCAGAAATAAATGGAAAAATGAATGAAAAATGTCTGTTAAAAAAAATTCATGATAATTATATTAAATGAGTTATATTTATGACTGGCAAAAAGAATCAGGAAATTCTGAGAAATATGTTGTTGTGACTAAAATCTGTGCTACACGTTTTTCTAAATTTTTTTAAATAAAGTTTTTCTAAATAAATGTGTATCAGAATGAACGTATAGCACAGAAAATAGCTTCGCAAAAAGGAAATTTGTGCTATTAAAACAAAACTTTCTGTATTTTTTGATAGTAATGAATTAACGATGATCATAAATTATTCATCTAAAACAAAAAACATTATTTCATCTTGAAGAGCTAAAGTAGTATTATTACCCAATGAATTTCACGTTTTATTTTGCTGATAGAACAACTTATAATTATCAGTTCAAAAATAATATTCTTCAAAAATCAGAAGCTTATAGTCGATTCAATGCCATACAAATTCAAGTCCTCATAGAATGAATGCAGTATTAAGAGTCGTGAATCAGTTAAATACAATGTATGTACAAGTAGTTTACATGATCGTGGGAAATCTCATCATGCTCATAATCGTTTCTGCATGTATCTACTTGTTTTGACATATTCTGAATTTTAGGTGTGACGAAAGATTCTGATTAAATTATGAGTTTAGTTCTGTACTGCATGCAAAATGAAGTACAGTTAGTTTAAGATAATTTATATTAAAATTACAGCGAGCATGTTTTGTATCTTTTAATTTAGGTGTCTGATGCGAAGTCGCCTGAGATGATGCCACTATAATATGAATCCCTACATCTACATTATATATTACAGTCATAATATACATATAAACACGCTAAAGGTTAGAGAACAAATACCTTCCAAATAATGGTAATAAAACGAATTTTGGACATCCATTAAGCTATGTTTCGCGAAGTTAGTATCAGGTTCAATGCGAGCCTAGCGCTAAGCTGCGGCGGAACCAGCGTACAACGCCGAGCGGTCACACTTACTATTTTACAAGCTATGACGTCGCTGTACATTTGGAAGTACACTTGGAAGGGCATTTTTAAATAAATGAATAAATTGTTCGGTAATGTATCTCAATTGTGTAGTTTGGTAATTCCAAAGGGCACATTGCCATCCTATTATAGTTTGAATATACAGGTGGGCCGTTTCATGTGAAAAAAAAACAACAACATACTAGCATGTTTTTCATAAGAAGCAATAAATTTCTTCTGAAATCAATCCGCAAAAGTAATAAATTGCTTCTGAAATAAACCTAACTTCCATTGGATAGCGATATTTGTATTATTTTTATTTCGCGACAGCCTGTAATATCACCAAAACTTTATACACATTTTCAAAACACGCAGCGCGTTTATAGATTGGGAAATACTTATACAAATACATTGGATTTACTTGTGAACAGCGAGTGTACGCTAATTCTGCCGGCCGAATGAAAGTCCATGATGAATTCATCGCGATCGCGCCCAGAGAAAACCAGAGCCCTAGGGCTGTTTATCCACAGGAGGCCCCTCACTTCACACAAAAATTCATTTCTCCCCTATTCATTAATCGAATTCATTTGTCTATGCATTATAAATAATTTAGAGCAATACATTGAATTATACATAAATATATTTTTATTTATTTTGAATGTGTAAACATCGGGGCCCCAATTAAGTCGGTACCTGGGGCAAGTGGCTCCAGCTACATTTCCCCCTTTTTGGGCGCCACTGCAAAACTGGAGGAAGATCTTCAAACTTACATTCTGGAACGCTCAACATCTACATTTTTTAATTTTTTTTTTTGATTTTTAAAAATTCTCATGTTTCCAAAATGTTCGGCCGCATGGCGCGGCGGGCGATGGCTCACCTGCGGCTTGCCGGGGCGGGCTTGGAGGGCGCGCGGCGGCCGCTGCGGGGCGGCTTGCTGGCGGGGCGGCGCGGCCGGGCGCGCGGGCGCCGCGGGAGACGCGGCCGGGGGCGGCACCGCCGCCGACGCGTTGCCCGGCGGGCGCGGGGGCGGGTCGGCGCAGCAGCGCATGGACGGCGACGGGCACGGCACGTCCTCCAGCACCTCGTCGCAGATGAGCGACGCCAGCATGTGCACGCACGACCCCGGGCAGTCCTTGCTGTCCGCCGTCGTCGCGATCGTGTCCAGCAGCCCTGCCAACACGCACACGCAGACACGCACGTCAAGCGGGGAGGAACGCGCAAGGGAAAATGAAACTGTAAAAAATCTCGCGATTGATGTATGGGTTTATACAACGTACACTATTCTTCTTCTTCTTCTTCTTCTTCTTCTTCTTCTTCTTCCTTACTTACTTAGTTATAAACAATCAAAACTTGTACTGTCGTTAAAATTACGATCTACTACATATGCTTAAAATATTTATATAGACAACGATTCGAAAATTATTAAGTTTCATCACCCCCGAAATTCACTAAGTTTTCATCTTCAATTACTTGGAATTTAGTTTCAAATTCAATATCCACAATTTCATCGGTGAATCTTTTCTTTTCGTCTATAATAAAAAAGAACTACAAAGAATATTTTATCTTTATTTTATCATGTATGTAAATATATAAAACAATAAATATGAATAATAGAATAGACAATTATTTTGAACAAAATAACAAAGAAAGTCTACGTTTTAATCGACACTGCGGTTCTACTGCACCGTATTTTACAGTTCGCATATTAAAAAAATCAATAATACAAGTAAACATACGTAAATGGAAGCTGGAATCAAAATTATGTGGGTACTTTGACAATCATAAATACAACAATTTGACTAACAACAGGAATATGGAATTGTATACTCTTTCATCTAAAATTACTAAAAAAATTAATTTTCTATTGACGATAAAATCATACACATCTTCTCTAGGATTGTGCGTTACTACAATATACGGTAAAATGATTAATTACGCCCTTCAATGTTACATTTCTGGTTTTGTGTTTTATCGCACTAGAAATAATAAAACACCATAAGTATTGCATTTCTTGTTTTCCCTAGGAATGACGATTCAACGACTGGGGAAATGAATGTACATTCAAATACATTATTCCATGTATTTTCCACAGTACTAATACTATGGAATATTACGGAGGTGTCTGTAGTCTTGAATGCAAATAGAGGAAGAAAAATGTCACGAAAGAGGAGGGAAAAAGAGAAATTAAAGCTGTCACAGGATTGTAAATTAAGAATGTTTAAAGAAGGAACGTACATAGCACGATATAATGAAGTTAGAAAAGTGGGAAAAAATTTGGAATTTACAAATGAATTGAGTTACTGCAATATCAGCACAGGGCGTTTTTTGTGGATGTTCTCTTCATTGCAGGACATATTCTATGTATGGATATTCTGATAATTGGATGCATGCTTATAATGACCTGATTATCTACAATAATTTTGTTTTAAATCGAGCTGGTGCAACGCGACATACATATCATACAACTATTATTATATAACCGAAATTTGCAATGAATTAAAACAATTTTATAGAATAAACAAAATGAAATGATGAATTCAATATTATACATGTAATGAACATTTAAAGACGACGAAATAATCCTGAGTCTTCATTCATTCTGTTTAGCCATTCTAAATGAAAGTAATGAACCTAAATTACGTATGTTGTTTTACTACTACTTTTTTACAAACCTATTTTAACTTCCTTTATCAAACATTCCATCTCATCAAACGTCTCATCTATTGCATCTCCTCTCTCCGGTATCTCCAACGCAAATGTCAACAGAGAACCATACCCTCCTCTAGCTCCCCCGCTTTCAAATGAATGGAAAAACAAATGGACGTGTCGGTTCTGACAGGGGAGGGAACGCACTGCGCAGACCCGGCAGGCGAGTTTTTTGTCCCTGCGAAACAAGGTAATGGCAGACGTGGCGGCAACAGAGATGACGATGGGAGCGGTACTGGTTCCTGTGACGTTGCTAGTCGACGAATCCTCGCAGAACGAGAGCGCCAATGAATGGTAGGCTTGCCGTCGGCCTGATTGACGATACAACCAACAACGCCGCCCCCACCCTCATCGCCGTCACTGCAGTTGGAAATCACATGATTCATGCCACCCCCACCACCACTCCCACTACCGCCAACAGCACTGTCAAGGCTGATTCAGCTCTACCTTCTTTTTATAGCTTGAACAGCTACTCTTTAAAGCTTTAACACTTCCATTCAACATTACATTAACTTACATCTGAAATGTTAGAAGTGTAAAAATAAATAATTATGAAAATAATTGGATACTGATAGATAGCATTTTATTTTTTCAGATCCTTGTTTAGTAAGAGGACAAGACACGTGTGAACTTGTGGTCTAGAAAAATGTTAACTTTGGGAAGGAAAGGAAATGAAAGTAGAGTTCGAGTCTACAAATTCGCCCCTTTCACAATTATGATTACTGTTTTCGCTAGTCGTGCAAAAATATCTATCGGTACAACTAAAACTTTTGAGTTAGTTGTCACAAACGGTGCCTTAAAACCGAAATGTATTGCCTGGGTTAGAGCATCGCAAACATCAATCTCTGTACCACCGCCGGTATGATACCCACGCCCACCAGCGAAGACCTCCTACATAGAGGATGCACGTGTACGACCTCAGCTCGGCTCTTCGCAGTGGGCAGTCTCCAAGGATCGCGAGAGATTAGCAAAAAAAAAGTTAAAGGAAAAAGAACCCACGAAGGCGGGACTGTCAAACTTAGAAAAAAGTAGATTTGTTATCTTCTTGCTCTCTTTTTGTGTGCTACACGCCTTGGTGTCTGAAATCTCTCCCTAGTTGGGGTATTGAAGGCGTTCCTCTCCCTCTGAATCATTACGTAATCACATCAACAATCGTACCTCGTCCGTGACCAGTTGTAGAAGTGTATGGTCAAGAGTATTTCTTCAATTCTTTTGAATTAATGGACGTTGGTGTAGAGAAGTACATTTACGATCAATTTCTAGATTTCTCCTCCAGAATAGGAGCTTCGTTTGCCCAAGAGATTTCTGCAGAGAAACTCTCACCACCACCGTCTGGCGTCACTGAAGATTATACAAATTCCCCATAGACACTTAAAGTCTTGATTTATATATTACATTTTAAATCATCTCATTTCATACTGAAACAGATAGACCTGCTAATACGACAAATGTGTGAAATTTATATTACTGACCAGGACTAGAGTCAGTGCAAAGATAGAACGAATAGTGCACAAGCGTGAGTCTACGTGGACATAAAGATGATGGGGGCCAGAACGAGTTTAGACAAGGGCTGCGATTATGGCCAGGACCAGAGCAAAAATGAGTATAAGGACGAGAACCAATACGAGAGCGTTGGCGAAGATCACAAAGAACTATGCTAAGTGAAAGAGTGAAGGCAGTGGATACGGTTGGACGTGAACGAGAGCGAGGGGGAAGGCGAGAAACGAGGGCGTGGGCGAGGGCGAAGGGCGAAGCGAGAGGCGAGGGCGAGGCGAGGGCGAGGGCGAGGGCGAGGGCGAGGGCGAGGGCGAGGGCGAGGGCGAGGGCGAGGGCGAGGGCGAGGGCGAGGGCGAGGGCGAGGGGCGAGGGCGAGGGCGAGGGCGAGGGCGAGGGCGAGGGCGAGGGCCGGAGGGCGAGGGCCAGGCGAGGGCGAGGGCGAGGGCGAGGGCAAGGGCGAGGGCAAGGGCGAGGGCAAGGGCGAGGGCGAGGGTGTGGCCGAGAGCGAAGGCGGGGGTAAGGACGAGGTAGAAAGAAACAGAGAGATCGAGACCTCTGTGCAAGTTTAAAAGACTAAAAATCAGCGCAGGCCGGGCCAAGAGCCGAGACAGAAACCAAAGGGTAAAGCCCAAATCAGGAATTTGAGAATAATGCAGAGACGTGATACAGTAAAGCGAGCGCCTTTTTTCCAGGACGATGTCGCGAGTAATTACTGATGACACAGCTGCAAAACTTGCACCTGTCTTCTCACTGATGCGAAGGCGGGAGCGAGCGAGCGAGGCGGAACGGCGCGCGCCGAGCAGGGACTGAGCGAGCGAGGGGTGCACGACGCCCATGAGCGTCGCGGCGCCTGTCGTACGACGTCGCGTCGCGTCGCGTCGCGCAGCTTGGCGTCGAAGATCGTCGACGATGGTGGCGGCGTCAGAGCCCATATGTGTGTTCTTATCCCGTTACGTGACGTCACGAATCGCCCGTTACCCGCGCGCGCTCCGAAGACGGGAGCGTCCGCCGACGCGACGCCGCGCAGTGGGGCGAAACGAACCTAAAGGAGAATGAATGAATGAATGAAGTTGAAAAGAAAAATTGTGGTTTGAAAATAATATTATTTTTTTCTCAATATGGGTCCACGAATTGTATGTAAATATATTTAAATCTAAAAGATCTTGTAATAATGTTAATGCAATATAAATTAATCTATAAAAGCAGGTTTTTTTCAGCCGGTATATTAAGTTGAAATTAGAGAAAAATGTATGCTGGTGTTAATCGTTTTTATTTAATGTTAAATTAATTTATTAAGTAATTATTAGAATAATCATGCAAATTTTAAATGGAACTATAGGTAAGGCATTAGACATGTAGAAGAACTTGCATATCAAAATATCCTTTAAAAAATTCCATTAAATCACCCTTGCCACGAAAAAAATAGCAAAGATTTTACATGAATACTATTTTGTATGTGAAGTTAATGAAAATAGTTGCAAGTGGTATTTTAATATCTTTGATATTGAAAATAAAAATTATGAATGGATTCAAACATACGTAATTCAAAAAATATAAAGTGAAGAAGGAATATGAATGTATGACCCGATTAAAATGGTCCAGAAATACAGAAAATGAAATGTATCCCACTGTGCGCTGTCTGCATCGCGACACGTACGTCCCACCTGCATCGCGTCCACGTGGAGAATGGAAGGAGAACGCCCTTACCGGGGCGCTTACAATGTTATTTCGAATTTAAATGCATTCAGAGGCCACTGCGTCAGGGACAAACATTGATTATTTATTTACATTAGTTATTTAATTGAAATTTGGCGATATAACGTGGAAACTAAGAATGATATATTAGTAACAAAACGGAAAGACGTTTCGAAAACTGAATGGTTTGTTTTGTTCAAATGTTCATTCTCGACATATTCACAGAATGTAAAATATAAACTGCGCTATAGGACGAACCTCTCCCACCTCAAAGAAACTCGACAAAAATCATTCCATGAAGAGCTTTCAATAGAAGATATCATGTAGAGAATTAATTATTCTACAATCGAAATAGGTTAAATGATTCATTATCGAAAACACAATTCTCTGCAACACGTGTGTAGTACTCTGGTTTCAAAGTATAAAGTAATAATGTAACATGAAGTAAATAATCGATCCTTAAGCCTTAAATGAAAATATTTTACTGGGAACTTTCAGTCTGCCATTCATCTTACTATTACAGCAAATTCTGTTCATAATTAACTCATCCATTATTGCTTTAATAATGCATCCCATGTGGAATCAACATTAGAAATACAGGTGTTGTGGTGAGTTATCGTTGGCATTTTTCATGAAATAATTATAGACGTTGTCATTGCCAACAATAGTATTAAATGTAAGAGCAGCTTTCGATGGCCTTCCATCCAGCAGACAACTGATGATGATGGCTAAGCCATCGAAAGCTGCTCTTATATTAAATACTATTGTTGGCAATGACAACGTCTAAAAGTATTTCATTAGAAATACATTTTAAAACTAATTTTCTGTCATAAAACTGTAAAAATAAAGTTCAGTTCCTTTCGGAATTCACAATTCTCCGAAGAGTAGGAGAAAGTACGGAAGGTTATTGACATGGTAATTGAACGTGTGCGTCAGTGCGAAGGCAGTTGGAAGGGGGGCGGGCGGTCGCGCCCTGTGGCTTCCTGGAGGGCGCGCCCAACGGGATGCGCAGCCGGACGCGAGAAAGTGCTCTGCTGCGCCGCTATGAGCCATGCGGCTGACTCCGCGCTCTGGCATGAGCGAGCCCGGGACATCCGGGCGCCGCGCCTTCCAAGTCGCGGGCGGAACTTCACTTGCAGCCGGTAAGAGGAGTCTTCTCCTGGAAAGTGCATTGCTGAGGCGGGGTTGGCAGACAAAGGAAGAGATAAGTAGGCATTATCAAATTCAGTCGGTTGTCATAGGAAGCAGCTGCTCTTAATAATTTAGTTGGAAAATACAATGCCAACTTGTGTCGTAACAAACAGGGGCGTAGACATAAAACACTTTCAGGACTTTCGATCCCAACTCCTTGGGAAACTTGTAAATATCTTGGAACATCGAAATTACCTGACGAAATGTTTTCGAAACGATATCAATTTACGTACACTTATTTTTTATCCTCTATCCTTATCTGAAATATTTTATAGCTTCTCGTGAAAAAATTAGTTTAGTGAAAAACTAAATTTTTTTATATTAATGAATAAATGACATGAATTCTCTCCATTTTTTAAAGTACTGAGATTTCCCCACTCGAAAGTTTGTCTCTTGTCAGCTTAAGCATCTTGAAGGCCATGTTACAGGCAGTTTTATGCACACTACAGTTTGTATAACATTATATTATTTTCGTATCTTCTTAAATTATATCCAAGTTATATTCTTGAAACATTATTTAAGCAATTATTTGATATTTCCTTAGAATTCAGAATTTTTTTCCCAAATCTATAATATTCTTGCATGGAATAACAAGAAAACGCCCTTAGAAAATTCACTAACACTAATTAAAATTATTATAATCTAATTAAAAAATTCCATACCATTACCAAAACATAGATATAGTATCTTCTAAAAATCATGACGAGAAGAGAAAGAACCGAGATTGTCGAGTTTTTAATTTACGCCATCTAAAAACAGGCAATGATTTTTGGAACGAAAAAAGGTGTATGGTAATTAAAATAACTTGTAGACAATTAATGAATAAAATACCCAATAGTTATTTTTATGTGTTTATTTTATGCATTCTTACACAATAGTAAATTTGGTTTCGTTAATTACTGCTGTCGTTTTCCCCTGTCTTTCAAGCATATGAGTAAGGGCAAGTATCATAATGAATGTTATATTCCTCTACCACAGCATGTAATGCGCACTTTAATTACAAAGAATGAAAATGATTCAACGAAACATACTCATCCAGGTGCAATAGCCACAAGAACTACCCAAGAAAAGATTGCAATTGTTTAAACCCATTGTAAGTAAACATTCTTCGTAAAAAACCATCTTGCAAGTGCTTCACTTTCTCCAAGTGAAGGAAACAAGTGCAGCGGAGGTGTGGCTCCGCGTGCCTTTGACCCAGCGCATTACGTCATAAAGGAGGCTGCGTCTCTTCCAGAACTTTCACCCCTTGAAATTCGTCGTCCAGAAGCAACAAGAACTCTTTCGGCGTGACCGCAATTACAGGGCACACAAAGGACGCACAGGACGAGCTAACTAGGCGCGCAGAGCGTGTCACATTAAAGAGCGCCACGCTGTCACTGGATGCAAAAAAGGGCGACTTTTCCACGGCGAAATGGAAAGCGTTTATTTTCATACGCTTGTTCACTCTCATTTCCAGGCAGGGTGAATGAAGAGGTCGTAGTCATAATAAGGGTAATCGTTAGAACTTTGAACGAATATGAGTTCTTAGGTAATGATACATATGATATGTCAGATATTGGACATCAAGGAATACAAAACAAATCTTTAATATTTTGTTATTTTTTTTAAGATAATTACAAGAAATTCATTCCAAAAAACTACTGGAATGACAACTGTCTGATCCGTTGACTATTCACAATTCTCTGAAACCACTCGTTGGTTATTAATATGGTTTAAACCTTTAAGGAATATATATCGTCGGTATGCAGAAAACATTACCTCAAGACTATACTCTACTAACTATTTACTTAAATAAAAAATGTTTATGAAGGAGTTTGTGACTACGACAGTGCGAGCACAAGGGGGTCAGGACGGACGTGATCCCCCTAAAAATTTCGAAAGGGTATCCGTAGTCCTACGTAATAAAACATTTTATTTCCATAATTCTGACCTATTTTGACCGTTATTTCCATTCAATTTCATAATTCTTCCCTGGAAATTTGGGAAATTTATCCACGTTCGGGGTATAGGCTCTCTATCCTTAAATAGTTCAACATCAGACCAACTTTTTAATTGCATCATTTAAGTTATTTTATTCTCCTTGTATTATATTCTATTTATTTATTGGTAGAATATATCATTTGTCAATAAAAAATCATTGAGAAAGTAGACCAGAGGAGCCCAAAAATGCAGTTGCCCCCTCTCACTTTAGACTGCGCACTCCTATGATAACTGGTAAAAATTTCACAAAGGTGTTTCACAATACAGGCGATATCCGTACTATGTGGTAAAAGACTGTGGAAATATATCGTACATAGATTATGGAAAAAGACTGTGATATGAAGATTATGGCAAAATACTGTGGGATATGGAAAAATGTCTATGACTACCAAATAATCGACACCGCTTACATCACAACCGTTCTCTTGAAAAATGCAATTTTTTAGATACTGTGTGTCACTTCCCTTGTGCCCCAACTCCTAAAGAATTAGTTCACAATTCCAGAACTTGATCAGGAACTTCGAGGAACAATGAATTGAATATTCAATGTATTATCACTCTAAATGCATCTTCTATTATTGAATTTTGAGCTATTTTCTCCCACTTTTTATATTTTATTACATGATTTATTTTGAAATTTGATTTAATACTATACAATTGGGCATTTGGATCACTGAATTATATGCCAACTATTAGAAATATAAGATTATTTTGTGTTTATATATTTCAAGTATTTTTATTATATCTTATCATTTAACAGAATCTAATGAACTGCGTGGATGTTGACAGGGAAAAGAGTGGAAAGAGAACTGCATGGTTTAAAAATTCATATCTGAAAATATGTACAATTGAATTCGATTTATAAAAAAACGAAATAACATCTTCCTTATGGAAGATGAAATTCCTGCAACATGAAACGGTAAAATGGAATTAACCCACCCAAGAACGACGACGTCTTTCTTGAACAAAACGGGAAATTCTTATGACGGAAAGTTCTGTACTGTATGCTCCGCCTGAGGGTGTTCACTGCTTTCCAAATCCGAGGGGAGTGAGCTATGCGCTGGTG